GGAGGAGGGCGGCTGTGATTACGGGCCGGTGCTGGCGCTTGTGAGCAAGGCCGAGCGCAAGGCGGATCTCATGCATGCAGAGCTGCTTGCAGCGGCGGCGGAGGCGGAGGGCCGGCGGCTACGGAAGGAGGAGCAGCAGGAGGGGCGCGGCGGCAGTGGCGGCGCCGTCGGCGGCGGCGGTGCGGCCGGCGGCGGCGCACAGGCGACCGCGCCGGAAATCGAGCCTGCGGGCGCAGCAGAGGGCGCAGCGGTGCAGCAGCAGGCGGAGGGCCCGTCGGCGGGCGCCGCGGAGGAGGGCGGGCCCGAGTGGCTGGCGCTGTGGCGCGCGGCGGCGGACCGCAGCCTGGGTGAGGTGTGCAGCGGGCAGGTCATGCTGCTGCTGCAGGACGCGCGCAGCATCTCAGCGCTGGCCAGGTGGGTGTGCGGGGACGCGCAACTTTCCAATGCGCATTGGCTGGCAGGTGAGCGGTATATGCTGGGCCCTGCATGCCGGCGGCAAGCGGCTCACGATGCCGCTGGATCGTGGTAAAAATGTTTGTTCGTGCACCCCAGAACATGGCGGGCAACCCCTTGCCCTGTCAACAGGGCCGCTCCTTCCCAGCATGCGGCAACGATCGGCGCGCGCAATTCCCTCCTCCCCAAGCACATGCATCAGGACCTCGCACGCAACAAACAAACCACCAACAGGTTTGGCCGGCCGCTCGACGACGGCATATCCTGGCCGAGCGACGGCGCGGAGGCCGCCTCAATGCTGCGGCGGCAGGCTTCCGGCATGGTGCGGGACCTCGGCCGCGTCCGCGAGTCGTACGCCTCCCGCCTGCGCGGCGCGGCAGGATCATTGCCAGAAGCCGGGGAGCTGGCGGCGGAGGTCGAGCGAGAGGGGGTCAACGCGGCGGCGCGCGTGCGCGACGCGCTGCGGGAGATGCTGTTCGTGGTGCTGCTGGCCTCGCTGCACAGGGAGGGGCGGCTGGCGGCGCAGCAGCGAGGCGACAGCGGCGGCGAGGGGGGCCGGGAGGGGCCGGAGGAGCAGCCACAAAATCACCAAGAGGCGCAGCAGCCGGGTGCCCAGGTGTCACCAAGCCCAGATGGGTCATCTGCGGGCGGCGGACACCTGGCTGGGGCCAACCCAGAACAGCAGCGGGTTGCGCAGCCTGAGCAGGGGCCCGAATCCAGCAGTGACCGCAAACAGTTGCAAGCCATGTAATGATATGTTCACGATCGTAAGACAGTGGCACGACTGACAGCTGACACGGGATCGACACCTGACACCCGACAAACCGGCCGGCGACGCATCAGCACCCCCGCCGGCCCCGTGAGTGGCCCACTCCCCTTGCCAGCGTGGCTAGAACGAATTGGTATCAATTCAGGACGATCACTAACGGGCGAGCGCCCTGCACGGCCGCAATTGCGACCCGGAAAGGCGACCGACTTTGCTTTGCCCAACCCCTGGTAATGTTGCACGTGCAGTCAAGTGCACAACTTGATCGCATCGTGCGCTTCTGCCAACCTTGCAACGATCGACACGCTTCAACTTGGCCTCAAGCGCTCACCCACTTCGGGCGTCGTTCCCTGGCAACCCTTTAGCGCGCCCCGGACCTCTGCACAGCGCAAAACCAGCTGGTTTCGAAGCTTTAGGGCCTCTGCGGGCCCCTGGCCCCGCGGGGCAGCCCTGCGTCTGTCCTGCTGGAGGAGGCGGCAGACGGGGCCTAGGCAGTGTGTACAGCATGATCAGGATATAGATGAGCTGTAGGCCGGCCTTAGAAGCGCCAGAGGGGTGGGCTTGGTGACACACCAGCCAAGGCGGTGTGCTGCAAGTGCTGCGAGGGGGCTTGCTCGGCCGGTTTTGCCCGCGAGGCACCCCCGGCATGGCTGACCCCGAGCGTGGGGGCGCCTCTGCGGCGGACGGCGAGGAGGAGGAGATCGTCGAGACCGACCCCGAGGGACGGTACTACCGCTACGGCGAGGTGGTGGGCCGCGGGCGGTTCAAGCAGATATACAAGGCGTTCGACACCCAGATAGGCATCGATGTGGCCTGGAGCAAGATCTGCGCCGAGCCGCACCACCTGAGCCAGGCGCAGCTGCATGAGATCGTTGAGGAGATGACCAAGGGCCTCGAGTTGGAGCACCCCAACATCATTAAGTGCTTCAAGTGCTGGGAGGACCACGAGCACAACTGCATCAACCTCATCACCGAGCTCTTCACCAGCGGCAACCTGCGCCAGTACCGCAACCTCCACAAGCACCTTGACCTGAAGGCGGTCAAGCGCATGGCGCGCCAGATCCTGCGTGGCCTCGAGTACCTGCACGGCATGAAGCCACCGCTCATGCACGGCGACCTGCGCTGCGACAAGATCTACGTCAACGGCCACAGCGGCGAGATCAAGATCGGCGACCTCGGCCTCGCGACGCTCATCCCGCTGCGCTGGGAGGCCGACGGCGGCCCCTCCCCCGAGTGCGCGGACGCCGTCAACCGCCACGACGTGCGCTCCGACATCTTCGCCTTCGGCCTCTGCATGCTCGAGCTGCTCACGCTGAAGCAGCTCGACCCGCAGCACAGCGGCGACACTGACGCGCTGCTGCGCGAGGTGGCCGACGACGACAGCAAGCGCTTCATATCGCACTGCGTGGGCGGGCTGGCGGCGCGGCCGACGGCGGAGGAGCTGCTGGAGGACCCGTTCTTGCAGCTGAAGAAGGCGGCGCTGGGGCCCGGCGCGGAGGGCAGCGCTGCGCAGCTGGCGCCGCAGCCGGAGCCGCTGCCGAGCGGAGGTGGGCTGGGCCGGGCCTGGGCTGGGCGAGTGGGGTGTGGCAGCGCTTTGGGAGGGACGGGGCGATGGTGCGGATTGATGCTGGTGGAGGCGCGCCGCCACGAGGCGCGCTTGCAACGGCGCGGGGCGGGGCAGGTGGTGTTGTGTCGTCAGGCAGCTGTGCAAGGGGACAGCTCACAGTCGCCACCTCAGCACGCTGCAGCTGCCGATGACATCGCGTTTGCTAAGTACTCTTGCTCAGCGCAGGCAGCTGCCAGCAATCCGCCGCTGTGCACTGCTGACCTATTCACAGAGTCAGCGGTGCACAATCTGGAAGTCAGCCTGCGCAGGGCTTGGCTGACCCCACTGCACCCGCGTCCGCGCCCTGTGCTTGCAGATGACGGCGAGGGTGAAGGCCACATCGCCATCGGCAAGCTCCGGGGGGAGGACTACAACTTTGAGTTCCACGGAAAGGTGGGCGGCAAGGGTGGGGCAGGATCCAGGCATGTGAAAAGCAACGGCCGTGCTGCTGGAGGGGCTGGATCGACTGCGGTCTCCCCAGAACACGGTAGCTGTGGCTGTGTGGAGCAGCGGCAGCACGGCGACGGCACTGCAGCAGCGCAGTGGCAGCGCAGCACCAGCGGGTTCATTGGTTGCCGGTAGCTGGCTGGCTACGCAGGCGGGTCCACGCAGGTCAACGCTGGCTGCTGATGCCTGTCTCTTTTGCGCAGCCTCTCGATGGCGGCGCGCAGATGCTGCACGCAGGCTCAATTGCATCCTTCACACCTCTTCTGCGCGGCACCACCCACCTTCCCACCCCAGGTCAAGGACGGCAAGATGCACTTCCGCCTCTTCATGACTCAGGTCTCCGACCTCCCCAACGGCCCCGCCGCAAACGGCGACTCCCCCGCCGCCGGCGCCGACGCCGGCGCGCCCGAGCAGCAGCAGCAGCAGCCCCCGCCGCCGGCGCTGCCGGTCGTGAGGACCATTGACTTTGTGTTTGACCCCGAGGTGGACACGGCCGACAACCTGGCGGGCGAGATCAGCGAGGAGTTCTCCCTCAGCCCCACAGACACGGAGATCTGCGCCGCGGCGCTGCGGGAGTGGCTGGCTAAGGAGATGCCCGGCAGCGAGGGCGGCAAGTAGGCAAGGGCGCCGGCGCGTCGCGAGGCCGCGGCCGCGGCGCGGCGCGGCGCAGCGTGGCGCAGCGTGCCCAATCCTGTTGGGGGCCGCCGCGCGTCATGCCGGCTGGCCGGAGCCAGCCTGCGCTTTTAGTTTGCGGTCGATAAAGTCTCGGCGGCCTCTTGGCTTCACCCCAACCGCCCGTCAGTGTGAGATTTGCTGCGCGTGCGCGCTGGCCGCGCGCCGCCGGCGCCTGGCGCCTTCTGCATTAGTTCGTCTTTGCATTGATTTGCGTCCGTCCAAGGCACGGCGGCTCCCGGCCCGCAGCGCACGGCCCCCGGGGGCCGGGCGCCGCCCGTTGGCGTCGCCGCCCCTCCCTCTGTGTTTGGCAGCGCCCCCCGCGGCCGTCCTCCCGTCTTTTGTTGCGTTTTGTGCCGCTTGTCGTCCGCCCTTCACTTCATATTTGCACCATGTGCTGTGCGCATAGCGCCGGGCGGGCCAGGTCCTCGTGTCGTGAGCAGGGTGGGGCTGCTGCTTGCCTGCGCGCCCCGCCCCCAAAACAGTGTCGCGCCAGCCGCTGCCGCGGCTTGATGCGCACCAGCCCCGTCGGTCAGCACCTGTGCATGACGCGCCTTTGCTTGTGATCGTGTAAAGCGTGGTGTTGAGTGTGGCTGTGGATAGACAAGCTTTGAATGAGAGGCTGGCGGGTTGCGGGCCGTTGGGGTCAGCTGATAAGGGGCGACAGGGGGGGGATGGGGTACGTGCGTGGAGGGTCATGGAGGCTGGCCCGCAACCCTACAGCGGAATCGGGCGCCCATTTGGGCTCCGGCGCGAGCAGCAGCAAAGATGCGCTTCCCTGGCGGGCCGTCGCCTTGCAGTGCGCCACTGCCTTAACCCGCGAAGTGTGTCGAGGGCCCCAGGGCAGCCTCACTCACTGATGCAACTGGGCTTCCTGCACTTTGCTCCCCCCACCCCTGCCGCCTGCACCGGGTCTAGCTTCACCCACGAATTCAGCTGCTCTCCCTCCACAAGCAGCCGCCCACCGTCATCCCTTGCATGATGGGCCCCATGGAAGTAAGGCAAGCCCCTGAATCGCGGTGATGGCTCCGCCTTCTTTGCACACAACCTCAACTGCACAGCAGCTGTTTTGTGTCTGCTGCCGCAGTAGGTTGAAATGTAAAACGAGCGCACCTGCATATGAGTTTTCTGGGCGCTGCCGAGAAGCCGCCCTGAACCCCAAATCGCGGCCAATTCCAGGGGGATACGCGCCTGAGTCCGCAGGCCGTGGCATGCACAAGCACCAATGCAGGACAGCCGACCCACTCCTGCTTCGTGAACGGCACAGCTGTACGCCAGCTGCCCTTTTCATATGGGAACGGCACCTGGCAGGACCAAACTCACAACAGCAACATTACTTGCGTGCACATGGCAGCAGTCGCGCATGCCGTCAGGGTCACACGGGCCGGGCGCACATTGCAGCCCAGGTCAAGCGTCAGCCAATCAACAGGCAGCATGGCCACAAGTGTATCCCCAAGCATCATGTCCAATAATCAGACTCAATCGCCAGAGGATCGCAAAAAGGGATAGAACAAGTCTGGGGGCAGCGGCATCACCAGCGGCGGCGCCGGCCGCAGCGCCGCCGCGGGCGCGCCCTGGTCCAGCGCCGCGAAGCTCACCGAGAACCGCAGCGGGAACGCCTGCGCCGCGCCGCCCGCCGCCGCCGCGCGGCGCGCGTCGTGCGCCCAGCTGCCGGTGGTGAGGCAGAGCTGCGCGTGGACGATTTTGCGCTGGGGGTTGCCGGCCGAGAAGGCGACTCCGGTGACGATCTTCAGGTCAAAGCCGGTGACGACGCCGTCGCACCGCCGCTCCCCCGCCGACCACTGCGGCGCCGCGGGCGGCCAGCCCGCGACCGCGACCTGCACCCACTCGTTAGCGTTCGCGGCGTCGCTGCTGCCCCACACGCCAAGCACCAGCGTGCCCGCAAGCGCCGCGTCGAGCAGCACGCCGCCCGCCGCCGCGCGCGCCGCCGCGGACGCGTCGGCGGCCGGGTCGCAGAGCGCCTGCAGCTCCGCCAGCGTCGCGGCGCCCGCGCAGTACGCGCTCCCGTTGTAGCCGAACCCGACGCTTGCGCCGCGCGCGCCGCCGCACGCGCCGCCGGCGCCGGGCGCCGGCAGCTGCAGGCCGCCCTTCAGGCGCGCGACGGCCGCCTTAGCGCCGCTCGCCTGCTTGACCCCCGCCAAAACGGGGAAGCCCTCCAGGTACCCTGGGGCGCCGCTGAACGGCAGCAGCGCTGCGGCCGGCGCCGCGGCGTCCGCCCACGCGACGCTTGCCGCCTGCGGCGCCGCGGGCGCGGCCGAGAAGGTGATGTCACTCACGGTCAAGTCGACCGACACCGAAACGAGCTGCGCGTCGCCGGTGGCCGCGTCCATCATGTACCGCATCAAAAAATCAGCGCGCACGACGGCGCCGGCGCACTTGGCGGGCGCCGCGCCCGCGGCCGCGACAAACACCGGCGCCGCGGCGGCGGCGGCGCTCAGCGCGCCGGTCGCGGGGTCGAGGCGGGCGACCGACGCGACCGTGGCGTTGAACATCGCAGCGGCGGCGGGGTTGGCGGGGAATTGGGTACGCGCATAGGCGAGGGGCGACAGCAGCGACACGGTGTCCTCGCAGAGCGCCGCGAAAGCGGTTACGGCGGTCGGCAGCGTGCGCCAGCAGGTGGCCGCCTGCTCCTGCTTGCCGGGCGGGTGGGTCGGGGGGCGAATCGGCGGGTGCGTTGGCACAAGTGTGCTCTTTGACTCTCTGCTTCAGGCCTGACTTGGGTGCCGCTCATACCGTCCACTTGCGCTCATGCCGCTCACATGCCGCCGCAGATGAGCAGACTCAACCAGGCTGAGGGAGGCCGCGCCGCAACCGCCCCCGGTCCTCACTCAAAGCACGCAAGCATCCACTGCCGCAGCACGGCTGGTGGGCAGCAACACCCTGTAACCCCCATCGTGCTGCCTTCAGCTGCGCGCCACGCTAGGCTCACCTTGAGTGACTGCGGCACCCGCTGCAGGAGCCCGACTTGTAGCCACTCCCCGCACTCGGCACTGGCGCCCCCCGACGCAACGGCAAAGCGGCCCCGCACGACGGAGCCGTCGGCCATCGGCGCGGCTGATATGATCGCGTCTCCGTAGGCATACGCGCCCTTCGCCGCTGCGGGCCGCGCCGCCGCCGCGTCGCACTGCGCCGCCTTGATGTTGTCACCCACGCCGCCAGTAGCAGGGTCTGCGCGCGCGCGTGCGTGTGTGTGGGAGTGCTGTCGAGGGTGGCGTGCCTGCTGCCAGATCGGGGCAATCGCCAGTTGCTTTAGTGACCTGCTGAAGGAACGTCTGCAAAAATCAGGCGCCCGTGACTCCAGGCTTTTCTGTTCTAGAGGCATCCCAGGCGCGCCACCACGCCGTCATCAATCACTGCGAATCCAAAGCAGGTTCTTATCAGCAGGCCCCCCGGCTCTGCCGCCGGCCGGCCGCCCCGTCCGCTGACGCAGCCCAGGCCTCGCTCTCTCGCCTGGGTATGCGGCCCCCAAGCTGGGGTTGTTGTCGCCGGCGACACACAGCAGCTGCGTCAGAAAGTCCTCCCCGGCGACGCGCTTCTGCAGACGGTAGAAGTCGCCGCTGGGCAGGTTGACCTGCGGCGGGGCCGGGGGATGACGCGGCCGTCGAGGCTCTGACGGCGCCGCCGAGGGCGGCACGTGTGAGCGCTGCGACGAAATGCACCGCCACTAACAACGTGTCCGCGACGCATTAAGGGGGCCATGCGGCAAACAGCGCTCGGGCAGAAGCCCGCAACCGTTTTCGCGGCGGCGGCCGCGGCGCTCCGGGCTTGCTGCCCGGGCGCGTGCGCGCGCGCGCCTGAGCAAACGAGTCATCCGGTACGCAGTAGTCAAGCTGCTGCGGCGGCGCCCCTTCAGGCAGGCAGCCGTCCCCTGCCTTGAACGCGGCGACCGCGGCCGCGGGGCAGTCGGGGTCGCAGCAGCAGCCGGGGGTGCAGGTGGCGTTCAGAACGTCGCAGATGCAGCTTGCATCGAGGTCCTTGGTCATGCTGGGGGTATCTGGGACCGTAGACCAGTCTATGGCATACGTCGCTGCACCTTGCGCAACTGCTGACCGCATGTGGCACGCAGCGGAAAAGATAAATGCCAGCAGCAATGCCCCTGGGCTGGCCAGCGCAGCCATGGGCGCTGCTGCGTCGCTGCTGCGCCGCTGCAGGCCGCTGATTTGCCGCAGCTGCCTTGACGCCAGCGGCAAACGGTCAGTGGGGTGTCACAGAGTGTTTCTTGGTCACTGCTGCCCTGCCCCCGTGCTGCTCAGGCACGCAGCGCGGCAGTGCGTAGACCGGCAGTCAACGCGCCGCCAACGATGCGATCTGAAAGACGCAACGCGGTTGACGTTTCATGTTGTGAGACACTTGGCATATTATACGCATATGAACTGGGTACAAGACTTGCAATACGGTATGTGCGTGGCCCGCAGATCATTTCGATCGGTGCAACACCTGCTTGGAAGCTGGCTGACGCACGCAGCGATCACTGCTCTAGCACAACACGGCTGCAAAACTTTGTTTGCTTCAGGAGTTCTTATCCGCATACCGCACAGCACTGTGGCACGCGGTTCGTCCTTCGTTTTATTCGCCGCTCATAGAACCAATTTATCTTGCCTGTGTGGTGCGTCCTCGGGGCCGCTCCAGTCATTGGATCCTGCACATCCGGGCGAGGCAGCGGGCCCTGTCCTGCATCGGTTTGCTCCGCACACGGCCAGCAGGCGCACCTTGGGCTCCGTTTGGGAGATAGGATCGTTCTAGTAAGGACTTCAACGGTCCCTTAGCACCCACTCGCCCGCCGGGCACAGCAGCGCGCGCGCTCGCGCGCCGCCCCCGCCGCCGCGATGGTGCTCAATGAGCTCGGCCGCGGCATCACGTCCGCGCTCGCCGCGATGGCCAACACCATGGTCATCGACGAGGCGGTGCTGGACGACTGCCTAAAGGAGATCTGCAAGGCGCTGCTGCAGTCGGACGTCAACGTGCGGCTCGTCGCAAACCTGCGGGCGAACATCAAGAAGCGGGTCAATGTGGAGGAGCTCGCCGCCGGCCTCAACAAGCGGAAGATCATAGAGAAGGCTGTGTTTGATGAGCTCTGCGCCATGCTGGACGGCGACGGCGACAAAGACAAGGACGCCAAGGCTAAGGAGGCGAGCAAGGGCGGCAAGGACGGCGCGGGCAGCTACGGCGTGAAAAAGGGGAAGCCGCACGTCGTCATGTTTGTGGGCCTGCAGGGCAGCGGCAAGACGACGACGTGCACCAAGTACGCGTACTGGCACAAGAAGAAGGGGTTCAAGCCGGCGCTGGTGTGCGCGGACACGTTCCGTGCGGGTGGGTGGCTGGGGGCCGGGAGGGGCGG